TCTCGGATCTAAACTATTATTCACATTAATTTTTAAAGAACTTTAAATTTAGAAAGGTAATTCATTCAGGCTCTTACACCAGCAGTTGATTGCACCTAAACTAATCATTGTGTACATTAATAGCAGGTAAAACTGTTGCCGCTAATTTGACAGAAAAAAGGTATTCTACCATTCAACTATGCTTCAATGATACAAAAATAACTTTATTAATTTAATTTTCTCTATTCTCGATAATTATTCGAGTTAATAAAGAACTCGTTCTATATTTAACCGCAACATTATAAAGTTTATTCATGTAATCCTTAATTTTCCTTATGGGCATCATAGTAAATCGAATTTCTACAAATATCAAAAAAAAGATTAAATTTATTTCTTGAAATTTAAAAAAGAAATCATAGTTAATTACTGTATATAACTTTATTTTAAAATAATCAAGAAGTCTGTGTATTCTAATATTTAAATTTAAAAAATATCTTTCTAACTTCATTCAAAGTAGACAAAGAAAACAATTTCTTTGTTTTTCATTAAAGATTCCGAAGAAAACACAGAAGAAAAAAATTAAAATCAATTAAGTAAAAACCTTTTAAAATTTAAAAAGGGAATTTATCCTTTTTTTTTTGTTTTTTATTTTCCATTTTTCTATTCAAATTCCAGACTTAATGAAAGATAAATCAACAAGAAATCGAAAGGTTTGTTAATAGTAAAGAAAAATCTAATTTGATTAAATTAATTTTCAATCAAACTGAAAGAAATTAATCATTAATGAGAATTGTAAAGGAAAAAAAAAGACACAGGAAAGAAGAAAAGAGAAGAAAGAATTTTGCAAATTTTTTCAAATATAGAAAAAGAAATAAAAGTCTCCTACTTGAAATACGAAAAAAAAAGCCTATAAAAAAATATAGATTGAAAAGGATAAGGATATAGTCGTAAAAATACTAAGGGACCTAATACCTGTAATAAGGCGTTAATATTGAATTTATTCGGAATTTTCATAAAAACTTTTCATTATAATTATGTACAGTACTTAGGCTTGTAGTGAAATTTCTAGAATACGGTTATAGTTCTGTATGTAAGTATTCGAATTTCATGGACATTTCTAGCTAATTCACGAATTTTGAAATAATTCCTGGAAAATTATTTTCGAATAATCTTAAGTTGGACAAGCATTTTTTTGTTTTAAAAACTTTCGTTCAAAATTAAAAGAATTCAACATGATGTTCGGGTTTACACTCGCAATCCTAACTGAAATAGTACGAGATATCGTTGACGTGACCCTATTATAATCTGAAAATATTAGAAAATACATATAGCAGAATTCCATAATGATTTGCCGATATTTTTGAATTATTCGATGAACCTTTGAAAGTGAAGAAAAAAAAAAGCTTGGAAAATAATAGTTATAAGAATTTATAATCTGAAATTAAACTTATTAACCATCATTAACTTAAACTAATGATGATCATATGGGTTGGTTATTTTTAAAAATTTTTTCATTTCAGCACAATGCTTTAATTTCATCTGAAAATTACCCTAATTTTCAAGTAAATTTAAAAGAAAGCAAAATATTTGAAACGAAAAACTAAATTTATAACACCAAGCTGATTCGGAATAGAAAAGCAACTCCAAAAGGCAAAAAAAAACACTTTCTATATTAAAAAAAAGATTTGTATTCAAAAAAGGAATCATTCTGTAATTTGAAAGGGTTATGATTTCTTTTTATATTTCTCTCTGGATTTTTGTTTTTCACTAGAAAAAAATTATTTATAAAAATTTTTACTTGTACAAAAGAATATTTTTTTGAAGAATTGAACGGAAAAGTTGACAGAAATATCAAGATGAAAATCGAAATTCCATTTCTGAATTATTTAGGTACTGGGAATGAAAATAAAAGAAAAATGTAAATTATTTAAAAATTGTATTCCCATTTAATTTCTACTTGTACTTGTAGATACACAGAGAATAATCAAAATCATTCAGAAGCAAAACAAAAACAAAAACTTTCATAAGTAATTAAAATTCAATGGTTATTAATCTCAAATGAGAGTAAATTGGAAAAATATTATCTTTTATTTAAAAATAAAAGCTGATTTTTATTGATTTTTTGAAAATAAATTTTTAACAATCAATCAAAAATACTTTATTATTCCTTTAAGTTTACTGTAGATATGTACATGCACACTGAATTCATGTACCTATATTTAATTATATTTTGACAAAAGTAATAATTTAAAATTTTGTATATGTAATTATTTGTTCCAGTTTTTTAAATTTGTATGTATGTATGAATCAATGGAAATCATTTTACTATGTAATTATTGTAATTATATGGAATTTTCAATACGAACACATGAAATATAAATAAAAATTCTTAACAATTTCAATCAATTCTTGAATTAATTTCTTCCGATAATGCAATTTATTATAAAATTTTGCGAAGTAATAATTAAATTGAACGGTAATTATTACAAAAATATAGGAAATTAAATGAATATTGAATATAAGTGAATTTTGATTCACAAATTTTGAATATATAATCTTTTAAAAGTGTATTTAGCAGACAGGAAGTTGCAGCAACTTCCAGAATTTCCTCACAAAACGAGCATTATGCCTTTCTTTTAGATCATCGAGTCTCCATAGACAGTTTTTGCCAAAGAATTGGTTAAGCAGAAAGCAGAGATCCCCACATGTCGAAAAGTTAGAAACAATATGCATTTGATTGAAAAGCGAGACCCTTTCAGATACATGAAAATTCTTAATTAAGGGATCACAAGGGGACTACATATTGTAAAATCTAGGACCTTCCTATGTATTACATTTATAAAAATCGGTTCAATAACCTTATTAGCTGTATTCAAATTATTTCCTAAAAGAAAATCAAAAACACACTCACCTCTGGGGTTCGTATTCTCCACACTGTGTGATGAGTATTAGCATCACAGGCTATAATTTTTTGTTCCAATTGCAGTATCTAACGTGTTAGTCTCTGACTTCCGCCGATGTGACGAACTCTTAAATTGGAAGAAATTTAATATACTTATTAAGCCACAATGCAGCTCTAGGTAAATCAAATTGATATGAGAAAATCAACTGATATTTATTATTTTGCAGATCCTTGATTTGCCCGCCATATGCCCATGGCTCTTGAAGGGGTCTTTGTTGAAATCTTTGATAACCCGCCATTTTAGACAGTGACATGCTGCTTTTGCATGATGGAGGTTCTCCAGGATTAACCTTAATTCATGCATTGAGCTGAGTTACATCCGATGACTCAGATGACACTATTGCTTCTACCGTAAACTAGCCATCGGAAACCCTTCCGCTGCTTTTTTCTGTTTAAAAATACCTATCATTATTCTTTCTTGAATAGGGGATATCCTGCTTTTCTACATCAGGACTTCTGAGAAATCTTTGTCAAGCACCCCAATTATGATACTTCCCACAACTTTAGCTAAGGCTTTAGTTGTCTTAGTTCAAGGAATATACTGTTCCACCTTGACTTGGTACGTCTGCCGTTCGCCGGTTTCAAGCATCAGATGACTGTAATTAATAAAAAAAACACCATCACTACAAGTTGCATATTTTATATCAATTGTTATTTCCAAAACTCATGCATAATAAAATATGAGATGTACTTAAATAACTCCGAGGATCATTTGTTTAAATGATTTCAGTAAAAAAACGTGGAGGTAGAATAAAGTATTTTTCTCCTTCTACCATAAAACTTTATAATTTATCCTAAAAAAAAACGAAAAACTTCATAATTAATTTTATAAAACTTTATACATATATTCGTTTCATTTAGTTTCATATTCATTATAATGTTAATTAAGAGAAGTCCTTTTTTCTCATTATGTCCGTTCTCTCTTTTCTTTCATTTGGGAGTATTTCATTGAACTGCTTAATAAAGTACTTCCTTATACTATAACTAAACTGTTAAATTAAAACAAAGGATAAACTTTTTTTTTTAATTTAAATTTTTTGAAATTTTCTTTTTTGCTTATTTTCTTTATATTAATGCAAGTATGTACTATGTGGAGTACACATACTAAACTAAAAATATTTTTATTACGACGTATATTATAAAAAAATTCAAAATCTGTTTTAAATCCTTTTGAATAAGGCTAATTTAAAAATTAAATAGAAAATTGCAGGGAATCTAGTATTGAATAAATTTTATAAAAATACTTGCATTATTAAATTAGATTTGAAAATTTCTTAAATTAGGAAGGACAATACATCGCGATTTAATATAGTATCTAGTCTAACCCCACCTAAGTTCCAAACGATCGAATTCGAATTTTATGGGAGCAAGAGAGTAACTCTGAACATATAATATTCTAGACTGAAATTTTTGAAGTGTTTCCTCAATATAAAAAAGTTCCAACAAAGAACTAGTGAGATTTCTTACCTGATACTTCCGGATTTCAACATTGTCAAATACTTAAATGATTTCTTCAGGGCTTCAGTACGATCTTTTCAGCTCAATATCTTCTTAAATTCTTTCCTGATGGGGTGGTAAAACAGAACATCACCAGTTTCATATAGTTTTCCAAGTTTCCTTTTTGGGTTTGCAAACCAGTGTTCTCAAAAACTTCCTAAATAACATATTCTGAAACACTTTAATGCAATCTCCTAAAATTGCAAAAGCCAAGCCATGATCTTCAGACACGATGGCTATATTTTGTATCCAATATCTTGCACATGCGCATGATGTGAAAGAATTTTTACGATTCTGAAAAATAAAAATATTACTTAAAAAGTTAACATGTGATTTATTGTATTTTATGTTTTTGTTCTCAGCAATCGCGTTTTGTCAGAGAGAATTACACTTATAAGCATAAAAGAAAATGATAAATTGAATTGAAATTAAATTGAACCAAATTGAATCTGGGTCGACTTAGCTATTAGAAAATATTGTCATTTTAAAACATTTTTCTTACATTTTTAGTATTTTGTATTATATTTAAATATTTTCATTTTATTTTCGTTTTTTTTTTCAGGAAATTCCACCAAACTACAATAACAAAATGCATTTAACTAAACAAATTTTGACATATATACCTATAAAATTTATACTTAACTAACGTAATCAAATGCTATCTTTGTCTAAATACTATTAAAATTTATTTCATCATAATTCTATAATCGTGTATGATTATCCCTTATTTTGAAAAAAAAAAAGAATAATCTTTTCAAATGGTTAAAGCACCGATTTTATTACCAAAACCGCCGTCATCAATTTCATTGTCACCTATAACTAATGACATCATGGATCCAACAGAAGAAGAAGATAACCTAAATAATTGTAACACTCAAAATTCATCAATTATAGTAAATAATAACAATAATGAAAATAATAATAACAATAATGAAATAGATTGCTGTAATACAGCTAGATTTGTAATTTCGCCCAATACATCAACTCCAGCAACACCAACATCACCTTCATCTACAACAACAATAATAAATTCAATAATGACAAACGGAGTTGTTTTTCATAGAGATATTCAAACCCAAACAAGTTTAAGTTTTGATGAAAATGATGAATACGATGGTAATTATGACTGTTCAAATACTAATCATAATAATAATCATTTGACTGATGATAATGAAAACTGTGAAAATGGTAATGATGATGATATTGATAATAATATCTCTAATACAAATAATTTTGAAAATAATGATAATGATAAGAATAATCATAATGATAATAATAAATGTGATGATGTTAATGGTAATTGTTCAAATGAAATTAATTCAGCAAAATTATCAATTGAAACCACAAAAAAGAAATCATATGATTTAAATAAAAATATTGATACTAAATCAATAGATAATAATGATAATAGTGAAAATAATAATGATGATTCTATTCCATTTCTCAAAAGTATTGAAAAAGATTATAAATTAAAATGCAGTAGTAGTTGTTCAGCAACAATATGTGATAAAGCTGTTAAAATAGAAAATAATCAAAATTTATTACAAAATGAACAAATATTTTATAAAAATGATGAAAATGAAAAATATGAAAAAAATATTAATAATAATAATAAGAATAACAATAATATTCTATTGCCAATACAAGAGGAATTAAACGAAAACTTTGAAAATTCTAATGATTTCACAGATTCTTACATAAATGAAAATGAATTAAATGAGACTGAAAATATATGTGAAACAACAGATGAAACAGAAACAACAACAAATATATGTAAAACGATTGATAATTATCTTGGTGATTATGAAACAAATAATTGTGATGAAATATTTAAATATGGTAGTATAAATAATAATGATAGTAATGACAATTTGAAAATTAATGGTAATAATATAATAGTAAATAAAAATACTAATAGTAATAACAATAATAATAACAACAGTAATAATACAATTTTATATCAAACGACTGCTATTACAAAACATAGTGTACACAGTGAAAAAATAAATGAATCAATAGGTATAATACAACATTTACAACCATTGACGGCCATACCAACAATACAACAAACAACAGCTGGACCAACAGCAATACCAACAATTGTGACACCAGCAACATTATTACCAGCTCTTGTTAATCATCAAACAGGCGCCATAATAGGTAAGAAAATTATTATTTAGAACTAATTTCAAAAAATTATTAGCAAAATTTTTATTACCAATATTATCAATATTCTTTAATTTGATTCGGGTCGGCATACAAAGTTTTTTATCGGCTAATTGACTTTTATTTTAAATAATTGAGTTGAATCGTTTTTGTACTCACAACTTTTATATTTTGTTCAAACAAACGCAACGAACAGCCACGAAACCCTAAAACTTAATTTTGCATGATGTCAGAATTTATCATAAAATTCTTTTTCATTCATTGAAAGTAAATTTACTTTCAAAAGCATTGTAGTAAAATATCAAACAATAAATAAAAGTTTTAACAAGATAAAAAGCAAATTTTTATCTTCGATTACCCAAATTACTTTCGAATAAGTTTTACAAAAAAAAAAAAATTTTTTTTCATATTTTCTTTTTTCTGCATTCTGAAAAATTTTTAAAATGGTTTGAAAGCAAGACTAACAACCTAAAATACCCAAGTTTAATTGATTAAGTGCTTCAAAGAAAATTTTTTACAACATTTTACTTTTTTTTTTTTTTTTGAAATTCTTGTTTTTTATGTCCTTCTTTATGCTACTTGTTAGTATCATAAAAAATATACAGTAAAATGCTTTTATTATCTAAAAATTTCTATCAAAAATATGTGTATGACATGCAACCACTTATTTTGGTCTACTGAAAAAACAGAAAAGAAAAAAAAAACGAAACATTTAAAATCAATTTCATTCTGCTAGCGATTTCTTTGTAATTTTATAGGTCATGTAACTCATGGAGCGCAAATTGTAATGGGAATTGCAGCAACATCTTTGCAACCAGCAACAGCACAGACGACTACTCAACCATCTATATCATCGCAATCACAACAAACAACTTTACCTACATCATTAGCATTACAAACCACACAAAATTCCATTGTTGGTAATGGTACAAATTTAACGCCATGCCCTCAATCAATTGTTCAACAACAGACTGCACAAACAGTTCTTACTGTTCAAGCAACATCATCACATAGTCAAACGATTTTACAACAAATATCACCACCGGCATCAGTTTCCGCGCTACAAACATCTCATGCTCCAACAACAATTTCAACACAAAATTCTCCAAGTCATCAAACTGTTGCACATCATTCTCAGCATCATAACCATTTACATCAACAACAACAGCAGCAACAACAACAACAACAATTAACCCAACAACATCCGCACACAATTCATTGTCAATTAACTGGAGCTACTATAACAGCAACTCCTATTTCAAATCAACAACAGCAACAACAACAACAGCAACAACAACAACAAAACACAGTACAACCAACTCATATTTTTCCAGTACATGTAATATCAATACCAGCAACAGCACATCATCATCAAACGGCGCATGGTACAACTACTGCATGGCCAATAGTTGAGGCACCAATATTTATTGATGCAAATGGTGAAGCAAGAACATTTTGTCCAGCACATCCACAAGGACCATTACCGCCACCTTTACCACCACCGTCACTACCGCCAACTGGTTCAACAATTACAAACTGTTCACAAAGTGTACAACAATCTTCACAACCACAACAAAATAGTAATGGTATTCAATCAGCCATTCAATCATCTATATTATCAGTTGCTAGTAATATGATAAATGGAAATTCAGTAAATTTAAATGGAAATTCACAAACCCAACAACAGCAACAGCAACCGCAACAACAGCAATCACAACAACGTGAACATAGAGTTTTATTGCAGTTGGACGCGGGGGTATCGCTTCCAGTACAAATAGGTGGAAAAAGGAAAATATTCCGAGGTAAGTGAACTTTCCTTTTTTTTTTAATTTTTATGATTAAACTTCTTTTTTACTATGGTTTTTCGTTTCTTTTAACCGTGTTTGTTAATTTTCCTTTTTTTTTCTCTTTTTTATTGAACTTTAGGATATTCCCATGTATTGGAATGAGATTTTTTTTTTGCTTCTTCAATTCTCTAGTGAGTTAAAAGCTTATTTAAGTTTGGTTATGTTCAAAAAAAAAAAAACTATTCTAACAAAATATAAAATAAATAGCATACACTTACGAAATCGTGTGAATACCTAAGTCTGTTTGTGTGCTTGCCAAGATTCAATATATAAAGATGCATAATTTAATGTATATATAACAGAAAAGAAAAAACATATAGACCGTTGCTTATTTGTTTCCATATCGGAAATTAAATGAATCTCAATCGAAATACCAACATAATCCTTTTAAGGATATTAAAGGACAATGAGATTTTTATACCTCTCATTGAGTGTTTATTTAAACAATTTTCATTTTTATATTTGAGAATTGAAATTTTATATTGTTTTTTTTTTTTTTGAAAAAGGAATGCAAATAAATCAATTGTGTGTGTTTTGAGGGTTATGAATTCGTTTTATATATTTTTGTATATACACATATGTATATGCATATGTACATATATGTAATTTAAATAAAAATTTATGGAGGATCTAGATTATTTGCATAATGGATGCTTTTCATTTGAATGATCTTTGCAGTCGTTAAATTCTTATGTTATTTTTGTCTTTTTTTAAGTATTAAAAGTTTTGGAAAATGAATTTTCATTCATAAATAAACAAAAATTTAATTAAAATATTAATGAAATTGAGTTCTGTATTAAATTTTTATACTTGATTGAAAGAGATTTTTGTTTAGTATTTTATTGTACTTTAAGTTAAAGTTATTTCAGGAGAGACTTAAAATTTACATTCATGCATAACTAATGTATGTAAAAAATTATGTAGAAAACTTGACAAAATTTGTCAATGACCAAACAGTTTCTAAACAGTTCTAAACAATTTTTATTTAATAGTTTACATCTTTTTTGTATATTGAAAAAAATTATTAGCTCTTCTAAATTAAAGAAATTTAATGGTCCACTGAAATGAAAATTGTGAAATTTTTTTCAATCCAATTGAAAATTTTATTAATTATTTTATAACTGGAGCTATTTTTTATACAGAAGCTATTCTTTAGCAAATTTGCAAATTCAATGTACAGATTTATCGTAAAACTGTAATACCGACAGTAAATGTTACGTATTAATTTCCTAGTGGTACAACACACACCTAAGATATTTTAATTAAATCAAATTTATGCACTTGATTGAAGTAAGAATTAAATTGGCAAATACCTTTCCAATTTGAAAAGATATTGAATCTATATTTAAGATACTATATAATTTTCACTTCTTATGCCCTTTATTTTATGATATTAATAAAAATTAATTCGTTACAACAAAAAAAAAAAAATTCATAATTTCTAATTTAATTTTTAAGTTAAATAAAAATATTACTGCCACGCTTAAATTTTTATGTCACTTAACAAATCCAATTTTAAATTTGATTTTTTTTTGTATAAATTTCACGTATACTTACACACATTTGTACATACATAACAGATTTGTACGTGAATGAATTAAAATTTATTATGTATGTATGTAAGCAAGCGTCACAACCATACAAAATGTGTCCATTCAAAATATGTTCTCGAGAACAGAGTGAAAAAATAATATTACCCTGTCATGATTATGTTAATGTATTCAGTGGATTTTATGTTCATGAATAAAATATTAGCCGAAAGGAAATGTCTGTTGATGATTTTTTATTATACGAGTACATTTGTATTTTTATTATTTTAAATACATACAGACGGACACACAGACATAGAAAAATAAAAACTACAAAGAGTCAAAAAAAAAATAACAAAGTACAAACTTTTATTTTCTCAATGGACAAGTTGTTCTTTTTTCATTAGCTTTACAGACAACTTAGATTAAGCAAAAAAACGAAAATAAGTACCTTAAATATTAAAATGGAAATTTTCAAATCACATTTTTTGGTACCGTCTTTTATTTTAGTTTCCTCAAGCAACTTACCTTTTATAGCTTTTAATCGTAATCCTTTGTGTCTAAAACATTTTGTCTAGCCTGTTAAAACACCTATAGCAAATACATACTATGCATATGCGTAAATTATGCATATTTAATAAAAAAAAATATAATAAAATTTTCAATTACAATAATTTTTTTTTTTGTATTTGCAAATGGGCCAAGGAATTATTAGTTACATTTAAAACATTTTAAACGAGAACAACGTTGAAAATACTATGAAAATTTTTCACCACACAATTTACTATTAACACCACTAATCAATTTTTAAGTTGAAATGGTTTAAGTCCACAATAAAAGAATCTTTTAAAGTACCTAAAGTTAGACCAAAAATTAGGCTTTAGTAAAAGTTTTTTATTCCATCATAGAGATTATAAGGGGTCATAAAAATACAAAGTTATTTATCTTTATTGAAAATTTATCAAAATTCCATTACGTTGAGTTGCAATACACATGTGTGAAAAAAAACGTATATAACTATAATATGAGTGTTGCCAATTACTTTTCTTAAAAAAAAAAAAAAAACATTTACATAATCAGATAATTTAGGGACTAAGCTTCTAAATTTATGTTAACAAGCAATTTTCAAAATTATTTTTTTCTCCAAATCTAAATCTATACATTTATACTATAAAAAGATTAAAAGGTGTGTACTGCCAACTTCTTTCGGAATTACCGTAATAAAATTCATTGTCAGTTTTCATTCATTTTATTTAGTAATTTTCTTTTCTTCTTAATGATAGCTCATTATTTTAAATTTATGTATTCTCATATTGTTGAAACATTTTAACACAAAATGTATGCAAATTTACGGTAAAGTTTTTTTAACATTATATAAAAAAAATATGTTAATGTTAAAATGCTAAATGTTTTTCTTAAGATTTCATGTTAGATTAAAAAAAATTTGAACGTGAAAAAAATTTAAAATAAAATCCTGGTTTCTAAATATACGAAAGAAATTTATGTGGCCCAATTGAGGTGGGGACTTAAAAGTAAAGTGATCCTTAAATTTCCATATAATTTTTATTTGTTACAAAAAATAAATTAATAAATAAACTATTCAGGAGTTAAAATTTACAAGAAATTTTCTTATATAAATTTAATCTGAAAAAAAAATATAAAAATTCAAATCATCCGATAGATGGCGTGGTAGATTTATTCCACCTATAATGGATAATTTTTTTTGTAAATGGATTTATTTTGATTTTATATACGGTTTAAGCATATTTCTTTCTAATCTAAATAATAAAGGTTATATAAGATTATTTCAAATAACAAAAAAAAAAAATTAAAAAAAAAAAATGAGGTCGAAAATATTTAAAACCCAAATTACAGATAATTTTTTTTTTCTTGTTTCTGAAATATCTAGTGAAGGACGTTATAAATTCTAAAATTTCATTCTATTAGAACCAAAAAAAAAAAAATCATGTTTTCATGTCATTTTGAATGTCACGTTTCGTCCTTGTAACAGCAAAAATATTTAAATCAAAATTATGAAGGAAGTATATGGGTTCTTTTCGCTTATTTGTTGTTTTTTTTTTTTGTTTTTTCTTTGCTTCCCTCAATTTCGAGTATAAAAACAAAAAAAAAATGGAATAGTGTTTAAATAGCAAATTGCTGTTGATATATAAAGTGTCAAGGATATAACTTGTACTTTATAAAATCTTATTTATTATGTAATTTTATTTTTTTTTTTTTAAAAAGGATTATAAAAGTAGATAAATAATTTGAAGAGGATTTTTTTTTTTAAAGAAATTCGTCCCTTAATTTATTTTTTTCTTGTTTATTTTATTTAATGAATTTTTTATTGACAGCATTGAATACAATAAGAGAGGTTGTGTGATGGCAACAAATTTCGAATGCCAAGATTTCGGTGGAAAACTCAATACATCTTCATAATAGGTAAACGTAAATAACCTACAATTTTTAAGGAAATATCGATATGTCAGTTTGTCCATCTGTTTGTTGATCTGTGTGTGCACAAGTATGTCGCATGTTAGGTCTCAGAAATTGAAACCTGAATTGCAGGCCGATTTTAGATTCTTTGGTATTTAATATTTAAATTCGGAGTGTTAAAAAAATTATTCTATAAATTTTTTGGAGAAATTATGTTTCGGAGAGTGAACTTGGGTCTAAATTTTTTGGAAAGTTCGGGAAAATTTTACATTTTTTACCATATCTACTAATTTATGGAGTTTTTTAAAATTTAATATAATTAATTTCTGGTTGTTATCGAAACTAACTGGTGAACTTTTCAGAGAATTCGAGTGGCACAAAGAGAAATTCTACAAAGAACCAAATCTAAATTTTTCGAGGAATCTTAACTAAAAACTTACTAATTACTATTAATTTTTTTTTCTCATCATTTATAATGTTGACGTATAAATATTTCTAAGAATTTTCCAATAATATTTAGAAAAATTTCAATTTGAATTTTTTTTCGATTTTCATATATGTATTTATTAAAATATTTCCAAATCGAATAAATCAAAATTCAAATACCAAATTCTAAAATAATATTATTAAAAATATTGTCAGCTTAAAATTGATTTAAAATTCTTATATACCAATACAAATATTTATTTTCTATATTTAATATTATATTATATAGAATACTGCAATTGCATATCTTAATATACAATAAATTTAGCTTTAAAATTTCAATTTCTATAAAAATTAATATGAGTATTATTGGTTTTAAAATATATTATAGGTCTTTATGTACATAAATAAATTCTTCAATTTTAAATTACAATTTCTATAATTGTATACAATATTTATTAAGCATTAGTTATAGTTCTAAAACTTATATACCATATACACACATACAGTCGAACACGAATAAAAGTTATATTTCATTTATGATTAAAAAAAAAAACAAAATTTCCCAATCT